TATGGCTAGAGCCCCCAGCGCACGCAATAGCGTGCCTAGCCGCCTGGTAGAAGAAGTACGGTAACTCGTTTCAGCTTAGCGCCGCTCTACAACGCCGTCTAGAGGATACAGTAGTAGAAGGTGTAATAATACAAGCTCAGAGAAAGCTTCTGGAAACGATAAGTCCGCTTGTTACACAGCCTCAAAAACTATGGGTTGCATTAGATGGATCATACAACGCTCAAAAAGTGCTATCCAAGTTCGCAGTCCGCATAGAGCGGAAGCTACTGGAACAGTTGGTGACACCAGACATGGAGGAAAGCCAGTGGAAAATGGCAACCATGGTTGAGGCGGTAGACGCTCGAATCAGCACGGAAGAGCGCATGAATGAAATGGTCAATAAACAAGGGGTCGCTTGGGACGGCAACGAATCGGGATGGAAGAGGATCTCCACAACTTAACACACAAGGCGTGCATGTTCTGCCAATCTTCGGTACATGGATCAATCGCATGTCCCAGTTATAGCAACACTCCGAAAGACGCAATTTCCTTTTGGAAAAGAGTATACGCTTTGCTTACTTGTTTGCTTTAACTGCGGACGAGAGAGACAGGACTGCAAAAGGGAAAGATGCAGGTCCTGCAATGGTTTGAAAGCACAACCAAGTTCTATGCCCCGGAGAGTGGAAAAACATAGAAAACAGCGGGAACTTCCATCACCCAGCAAAAGGCCGACGCCAACTCAGAAACCAAGCGCGCAGCAGTGTGCAGGTGGCGTTACGGCGCACGCACACAAGGGACACAACAAGAGTGCACACCATACCCACGTCTACAAAAAAGGACCTTGTGCGAAATTCCAATCCACTGACGGCTCCAGATTTAGACACATCAAGCGCATATAGCACACATACAGCAGTACATGCTGGAAATGAAAGCATGCTTCTCTTAACAGAGGTAGGAAAGGAGGGAAACGCGATAAAAAAGAGTGGCACCGGTCGAAATCTTATTTGATACAGGAGCAGACCAGTCGTTCATCAACCAGACCCTTACGCAGGAGTTAGGCCTCGCACCTAGCGAGACTAAGAACTCCAATATTTATACTTTCGGTTCCACAGTACCTAGAGAAGCAAATATGTGGGTCGTTTGAGCAAACTCAAGGGCATACAAGGAAGGGAGGAGGTTAATACTGGTATTGTGCACTTGCACACAATACCAGCATTGACCGGAATAAGAACGGAGACGCATCACACTGAAAGGATGTGAGCTTCATTGCGAGCACAGGCTAAAACTTTTAGGGCAAGGTACGCGCAGGGATTCCAATCCGCAAATTCTACTTGGCTGCGAATAGCTCTGGGACTTATTGAGTTATCTTTCTCCACAGTACACGCTACCGTCAGGGCTACAGCTCATTCTCGTAAAACTGGGATATCTAATTACTGGAAAGCAACGACTGCCCACCATTTCCGAGCAGAGGGTTGGGGTTACACCCAAGATGGTATCAATGATTCAAATCATCACAGGTGATGGAAATGATCTCCTCAGGTGGGATAAATACTGGGCCATGGAGACGGCAGGAGTATGTGAATACACTGGCACAATCGACGCTGAGAGGTCGGCAATCAACGAAGAAGTGATTTCGTTTTCCAAAAAGGCAATTGAAAGAAGACGCGATGGCTACTATGTACGCCTGCCATACAAACAAAACCATCCCCCGCTTCCCTCCAACAAAACAGTCGCGCTAAGGAGACTCAGCAATGTTGAACATGCTGAGGTCCAACACAAAGCCTCTGGAGGGATACCACAACACTTTCAAATCCCAACAGATTGAGGGCATAATTGAAGAAGTGCCAGAACCTCATAAGAGAGGCGGAGAGGTAGTCCATTATATCCCACACCAACCGGTCGTCACGCCCATAAACCAACCACCAAATTACGCATGGTTTTCGACGCTTCCTCACACTTCAGAAATTGCTCTGGTCTGATCGATGTCTTACACCAAGGTCCTCTTATCTTACCTGTACTCTACGCTATGCTATTACGCTTTCAAATTCCGAAATTCGTCGTTACCTCAGACGTAGAGAAAGCGTTCCTTCAGGTCCGTTTACACGAACTCGATTGCGAAGCGACGCTTTTTTTGGTACGCTACTATGAAAAGAACCCCGAAGAGGAAAATCTGATCACCTATCGATTCTCCAGGGTTACGTGTCTTAACGTATCGCCCTTTCTCCTTGGAGTCACAGTCCACCTCCATCTTCGCAACGAAGCGAATGGCAAAAGACTGGAGAAGGAGCTAAGGGATCGCTTCTACGTCGATAATCTCATCTTAGCAGCGGAAACCCCAGAGGAAGCGGTGCACAAATACAGATGCGCCCGCGAAATTTTTGCAGAAATTAGGATGAATCTGCGAGAGTTTCTCTCCAACGATAGGGTCGTGAACGAAAGACTCGTGCGAGAGTCCCGAGCAAGCACAAGGTATCAAAAGGTCGTGGGAATACTTTCGGAGAGGAGAAACGACAAGCTATCAATTCGATGTAACCTCCCACTCACGCCACACCTTACTAAACGCATCGTAGCAAGACTAATTGCTTCAGTGTATGACCCCTTTGAATGGCTCGTCCCACTTCTCACTCAAGCGAAAAGATTCCAGCAGGACTTGTGGAAGCAGAGGTATGGCTGGGACACACCATTACCTGAAAACTTGCAGAAGCGCTGGAATACGCTTTGTAAAAATGCGCATCCTGTAGAAGCCACTGAGCAACCCAGAACGCAGCAGTTTAGCAGTCTTCTCCGACGCCAGCTCCATCGCTATGTCAGCATGAGAGTATACCTCGGCGGTGAGCAGTCCACATTGGTTATGGCCGAATGCAAGCTACCCTCCATTAAAAGTAACCCTACTATAACCAAAATGGAAACGAACGCATTGGCGATAGCATTATGCCTAGCACTCTCAATATTCCAGGTGCTCAACGAACGCATTCCTCATGGTATGAAAAACGCTTATATCTTCTCCGATTCGCAAGTGGCGCTAAGCTGGCTAGCTTCAAATTCAACCGCAACAAATTTTGGAATGCTCGTTAACAACCGCTTGAAAGAAATACGACGCATTGTAGAAGCCTTCAGCAGTGAAGGAGTTCAAGTGTATTTCAAATTTGTACCGACAAATCAGAATCCAGCTGATGCTGTTACTCGAGGTCTCACAAAAACGCAATTGAACCATGCTTTTTGGTGGGAGGGATCCCATTTCTTACACTGTGGTGACCAGGCGGAAGGGTGGCGCCTTGATATGATCAGAGAGATTGTTGTCTCTCTGTTAAACGAACGAACAGAAAAACGGTGGTTTTGTGACAATTTACTTCAGACCAAACACAAAGACCCTGGTTAAGGGTGGCGAACAAGAGTCCCCTGTTACGGGTAAGATAGAGTAGAGAATCTCCTACTTAAGCCACGCCCCGAAGAAGCAGTGGTGACCGCGGGTTCTGGCCTATGCCAAACACTCCCGCCGGCCACGATTAGTCAAAATTTAAACGCATAAGAAACAATGGAATTTTGAAGTATCAGCACGCTGCCCACTTAGTCGTCATTGTCCTCTGAAGTCCTGTTTCTCGAGTGGCGCACATTATCACGCTGTGTGGTCTCCCGCACGCCGCACACTGTACGCCGCAGTCGTCATCCTCGGCATGAGCTGGCTTGCGGCAACGACCACAAAGGCCGAGCCACGCCACCTGCATGCCTGCCGCTCACGAATGCTAACTTTTTAGTGAGGTAGTGATTAACCCATAAGGTAGAAGTTCCAAGACCTAGAATAAGTAATACTAGAAGCCCAAATTTGGGATTAGTTTGTAGCGCGTTCTTTGGCGACAGCTCGGTTTTTCCACTTACAAGAAGGGAAGTCGTCTTGCCTTTGTATACTGTATAAGAACATGCCGCTACAGCTTCATTGCTTGGGCACGAGAAGAGCCAGAGACATACACCTTTCAAGAGCTTATTTTCTCCGCTAAGAACTCTGTGGTTTGTTATCATAGCGTTATTTGTCACCCATGACGTACTCCATTTTTTGTAAAGTTCCATGGAAACGCGGTCATCCCGACTCGAATGCCTGATAAAGACCTCCCTGATCAAAGATTCCACTCCATTTAATAATGAATTAACAACACTGAGCGGGTCGTACACAGAATCAGTTTGGCTGACTATATCTACTTTCGTAAGCGTCATCTTCATCTTGAATTTTGTCTTGACTGTTAACCGGCCGTTCTACTTGTCGTAATGAGCGCCAAGAAGTTTCATTTTACCAAATGGGGTCCGGTTGTTCTTCGGTATTACCACATTAACAATATTCGAGTTGGAGACATAATGTCGAAGGTTCGTACAGATTTTTGAGAACAAACTCTTCGATTCCTTGTATTTTTGGAGAATCCTCCTGCCAGTTTGTGCTTGAAGTAAAATACTGCCGATATACAGGTTTCTGCTTGTTTCTGCTGATGACTCGGTCCCATCCGAGCATGAAAATGCTAGACGCAAAATAGTTGGGAGACTAAGCGACGCAGTAATGCTGAATGGTAACCGATTAAAGCGGTACTCTAATGTTTGACCTCATAATAAGCTTCGTGGTATCTTTCGCCCACAGTGGGCGGCATAACTCTTTGTGTGCGTCTTTGAGCCTAATCTGCGTGAATGCGGCCTCATTCTCAAGTTTTGAGATATTGCACTGCAATGGAAATGGTGCTGTGACATAACCTATGTCGATCGGTCTTGAAACTGGGCTACTTTCGAAATGTTCCTGAGTTTTACTATCGATGGCGCAATCATCGGAAGAAACTCTTAGTCCTTCTAGTTTGAATGGCTTTTCTGACATTCGATCCTCTGAGCCCTCGTGAATGATCATCAACCCAAAGGAGACTGACTGATGTTCTGCGGGGTTGTCTAGCCTGCCTAGGCCATAAACTGCTGGACCGAACACGGTTTTTGCGATTCGCAACCCTGAAGGTGTTCTCTGTGAAACTCCGTCTTCTATGACAAGATCGTGATACCTGTCGAGTCCGACTAAAATTTTGAGCACCTGTCGCCCTCCTTGTAAATTGAAATTTGCGACGCAGATCTGGTTATGCTCAAGGAAATTGGCATCTTCTTCTGTCAGTCTTACCGAAGGAAATCCTTTTGTTACGATTGGTTTGGTTTGTACGTTGAAGCGTAGTTCTTTCCTGTACGCGCATCTAACTCTCAAAGGTACAGTTGTGCTATCGAACCGTTCAACGTGTCCTCCAATGCCCGACATTGTACAGGTTTCTGTGAAGAATTTCGAAAGTACAAAGTCGTTTGCTAATTTCTCTCAATCATGGTTTTGTGAGCTCCAGTATCGAAGAAGAAGAGCACTTTCTCGAACCTTTTATTTTTGTTATTCCAAAGATTGCCCTCTGCTTTCATAAGAATCAGTTGTTCATTTTTGCTCGTGTCGATCTTCGAGCGGTCGTAATCCTGCTCAATTTGAATGACCTGTGTGTTGGTCTGTTGGGTTCTCCTATCATCGTTGCAATAACGACTGCTAGGCCTGCTATCAGACTGCTGTGGTCTGCTGCCATAGCTTTGTTGATTGGCCTCATTTCTTGCCGGCCAGGGATTGCCGGTGGGGCTCTCACGTTGATGTTGAATGGTCTGCTTGCCAAACACATGCTATGATGATGTTTCTGGCCGCAACTGGAACAGTTAGGCTTGTTGCAATGATTGCTTGAGTGATTATCGTTGAAACATATCCAACACAGACGGTTCTCCTTGGCGATAGCGCGTCTCCTTTGAATGTCGGTGACGGTTCTGCACAATGCGGAATGGTGATTATCGCTTCCGCAAAAGGCGCAGTTTCGTGGAAACCTTTGACTTTGTGTTCTAGAATCATCAGTGTACCTAGTTTCCCTGGTGTACCTGGTTTGTTCGCTTTCGGAACCCCAGTATGTCTCGACAAAGAGTTTGGAGGATATTTCTCTTTCTAACAGCGTTATGAGATTTCCAATTGTAATATTTTTGTCGTCCTGATATTTTGCTAGGACGTCCTTTATTATTCTGTAAGGGAACTTTTTGATTATTGTTTCAGTCCACATAGGATCGCTAGTGGCTCTGATGTCATAGTCAGTAGAGACCATTTGGTTCACAAGTGCTTTGATCGATCCAAGCAGTCATCACAGCCTTTTGCATTTTGTGCAGCAGCTTTCAAATCGAAGAGTTTCTGCACTATTTTTGACCTGTTGATCGGTCGGTTACCGAATTCATCTTTGAGTATCTGTACGATCCACTCATAATTCTTTGCTATCGGCTCTACTCCTTTAATGGCTCTCTCTGCTTTCCCTCTTAGACTGTCCTTGAGTAGAACAATCTTTTCAATTAAGCTCAGTTCATTGCTTGAGTGAATGAGAGATTCATAAACTGCCCAGTACTCTGGGAATTCCTCTTCGCTACCATGAAATTTTGGTAGGCTGATACTGGGCGGTTTGATTGACCGCATCCTTGAGGTGCTCTCAGAATTCGGGTCCTCCGAGTTTCCCTGAGCTAAACTTGCCCGGTTGTAACTGTGAGTTGATGATCCTTCACTGTCATTATTAGCTGAAGGTAATTTTAGTTTTCTCTGGGTGTTTGCCAATTTTACTTTAGCCTCAGTTAACTGAGCTTCCAGTATATGAATGAAAACCTCAGCACTTGCCAAATGCTGTGGATATTGAGATTCTCTTTAAATTTCCTGAACTTCTAGAATGAGTTCCTTTTGATCGGTCTTTTTTTGCGTTAGCATAATAATTCTCTATTTTATCGACTCTCTCTTGAATAGTCCCGACAGCGGTTTTTATACGACTAATTGCTGACGATAAAAGGTAACGTTTGCCAGAGCTTTTTCGTGAAGTTCCTCCTCATTTTCGGGATACTCTAGGTTCGCTCCGTAGCATTGGTATTTTTGTAACAGAGTGGCTAGCGCTGTGGCGCTAGCAATAATTGGTTTCTTGTAGAAGTAGAGTGCCATATTGATATCTCTACTACTTTCCTCTACTTACTTCGCTGCTGTCGAGCGGTTGTTTTACTAGTGGTAATGTACTTGCTGTGATTTAGCAAGCAAAAGTACGCTGCTTTCGAGCGATTGTCCTTCAACGAGGAAAAGATAAGCTAAGTCCGACGGAATTAGCAAGTAATTCGCTGCTTTCGAGCGATCAAGTGAGATATGTCTGTTAAATTCGACTAGAAATTCAACAAACAACAACGCAATAACGTTGTTCTTCGCAAAGCTGTTGTTTGCGGTTTTCTGGGCTGAGCCCAAGGACAGGCGATTTGCTGGCCTTGAAACGGCTTTAGCCGATGCACCAAAAAATGTGGTGACTAGGCGGAAAGGTGGCGCCTTGATATGATCAGAGAGATTGTTATCCCTCTGTTAAACGAACGAACAGAAAAATGGTGGTTCAGTGACGATTTATTTGAGACCAAACACAGAACCTGGTTAAGGGTGGCGAACAAGAGTCCCCTGTTACGGGTAAGACAGAGTAGAGAATCTCCTACTTAAGCCCCGCCCCGAAGAAGCGGTGGTGAAATTGTCTACAGGGTCGCGTATGTTTTGGCCTATGCCAGAACATACGCGACCCTGTAGACAATTTCTTACGCGACCTGTGGTCCGTATGCATTTAGCATGGACAATACGCAAGAGCACAACCCGGCGTCAGCCACGCACGCAGTTACGCAGCATGTAAGGTCGGCTAACCCCACACAAAAAACGCGCGTCCGGTCTAGCAAGTGGTTCCTTTTCTGCATCATGCTTCTTTCGCTCTTTCAAGGGTTGAATGGGAATCCACAACGGATGCCACGAGAGTGTGCGCCAAAATGGTACGAGCTATTACGCAAACCGTGCACAAATCCCAAAAAGTTTATGCTCACTCACCCGTACCATAGTACTGCCGTACACATCTGGGTCATCATCTCTCATAATAAAGCATGATCATAAGGCTTTTTTAAGCGAAGTAGCCATGGCTGTTCATTTAGAACAAAGGCCTCGCAAACTGATGAGACCACATTCAACAATGTCAAGCACAGATGTCCCTTGGCATTCGTATTCAAACTCAAGCGCTGGACGCCTACAATAGCTCAAGATTTTCCACAGAGGTGTAATGGTCTGGCCACCCCCAACCGTTTCCTGCGATACACAAAGCTCGTGAAAGCAAAAACCCGGCTCATGATCACGCACCTTATTTTGTTTTCGAAATTCGATTCGAAAAAGTTTTGAGAAAAAACAATACGCTCGCAACTCATTTTTGATGTTCGAGCTCAAAGGTAATATCCAAAAAACGCTTCAAAAATTTTATGACGCAGAAAAGTTAGTTAGCAAACAAAAAACATGTAGCTAACAACGCGCATTTGATTTACGCAAACATTACCCCCTCAGATTTTGGACCTGTACGAAGAACTGAAAGCCATTGTTCAAAACGAAACGGCGAAACTTCAAGAGTTCATCGCTTGGGCATGGACAACGTGCGCAACACACTCACCGACGCCATTTGGAAATTGTCTCCACTGGCAGCCTGGGAAGGACGTACTATAGACGGAGCAACGGCGAGGGGGAGGTCACCGAGTTGCTTCAGCCAGAGCCGAGCCCTCTTGACCGAGAGGAAGCGGAAATTACCCAGCAGAATGCGGAGTTAATGGAAAATGTCGCAGTGGACAAAGCTATGATGTGGCGCCAAATAGATGGAGAAATCTTCGACGCTCACGCAGAAACTGAGGAATTTGACAATCTCATCGACGAACTCGAAAGTGAATCCAAATGTAATGTAAACCCAGGAGCTTCAGTCGAGGCATCATAAGACGCCGGGACGAGAGAACAATTTGCTGCTTTTTGCCAGAGAGTCGGAAAACACTATAGCGATTCTTGTGAGATCTACAAGGAAAGCCCGGTGCGCAGATTCATAGTGAATGAAGAACATAGATGCGCCTGCTAATTTAAAATCAAATTCGAACACCATGTTTGCTGCAAGTTCAACGTGGGATGTTATCACTGCAAAAGGTGTGGACACCATTGCTCTGTGTGTGACCTACCAGAAAGCTCGCCGGAAATCAACAGAAACCTGGCCGAGGCAACGGATGCGAAGAGGGAAGCTGAAAGCAGGACCAAGGAGCTGAAGGAGCGGCTGGAGGAGCTAAACAGACAAGTCTACCCGGCGTGAATTCTATGAAGTGTTGATTTGTCTGTTGCTAACACGTGTTGTCTAACACGTGTTACAAGAACGGGACCCTAAGTGGTGGGGAATATCGCGACTTTCGCGATCACTAAAATCTTTGATCTCAAACCATGGGTGATCTGACGGGAATGATGTTTTGCTTTTGGTTTTCGGATCAAGGGGTATGTTTAGGCCACCCATGAAACGATAGCACCTTCTTTCTTCGTCTTCGCCTACAAGTCCGTCCTGCACATATTCTGTTCTGTTATTTACTCCGTTCATTTCTGTGCTGCAAAAATAGATATCATCCACTGGACCACCATCGCATACAGAAGACATACATTATTCATATGCTTATCGGGACATATATATTTACTCTATCATACCGTAGACCAAGTTCATCTTAGTACCCGCGCGGACGTAATTAGAACGCAAATGGAATTCCCTATCAGCGACCCTATCGTCTTGGACTTGTAAAGGATTATGGATCTCGGTGCGAGTACTCAGGCCATACCCAACACTAACAAATCACCAATAAACATTAAATCTGATCATCACACTGTGTGGAAAGGAGGAAGAAGCTTGACCATAACTGATGAACTCCAACGTAAGGTAGTTTGCTGCATGAAGAAATGAAAAAGTTCTCAACTCGAGACTTGTAGAGTGGAAGTACAGCTGCAGAATCCCATATAACTTTAAAAATTTATTCAGAATCAACAACGAACAAATAACGCTTACGCATCAACTTTCTTCACGTGTTTTTTCGATTTCGGTTGCTGCGAACGAACAATTGCAGCAGCACGCCTTTGGGCAAGCTAAAATAACCAACAATATCAAAAATAAAGAAATGAGGTTGGACAAAAGTAGATATACGGAAAAAATTTCGACGATAATATCGTTGGGGGCACCGCTCTTTTACAACATTGAGCGCTAGAGCGCAGAGAAGGAGGTGGCCGACTCTGCGAGACCAAATGAAGTACAAAACGTTTTTCAGTCGGAAAATATAGTTTTTTTTACCCAAGCTTTAGGAGTGAAGAAGCACCGGGAGGATGAATCTATTCCGTATTCAATCATCTCACCCACCGTGGTACTCCTCAAGGCTCAGGGATGTTGTATTCGTAAGCCGTCTAGCAAGAACCGTCTCTCAACGTAAGTAAAGTCGGCTACTCCTCCTTCTCTGCCCTCTCGGCCCACTACTTTGTATTTTCTCGAAATACGAATAGGAGATATAACTGCTGTAGGGTACCACCACCACTTCTTTCTCATTACTGATATTGGGCTTCTTTCATTCCTTCAGACATTATCCCGAAAATAAGCGCACAACAGCCCCCGAGTTCCATGTCGACTGCAAGTTCCGTAATCCTCTGAAAGAGTATACATCCCATAAAGCGCTGATCTTCATTACCGATCGCCCCAAATGAAACTTTATGACCTGACTGCACCTCTTTACAACCGAACGGTTTCCCAACGATGAAGTACGACAGCACTTCCTATTAACACAACTCACCAAAATTTGTTTAGAAAGAAAACTTCTGACAAAAGAACATGTTTAAGCAAAGCTTCAAGCCGCCTTATAATCAAGTTACTCGATAACGACGCAATAAAAACGTACCTTGTAGTATGGAGTGAGACCTTGACTTTTTGCGATTGCCTTCACAGATTTTAAAATTTTGTCACGGTTACGAAGTGTGATGGTCCTGACGCTTATCGCTGGTCTTCCTGCCTTACCTGGAAAGTACAGTTATAAGATTGCAGTAGAAAAGCAATACATGATCTAACGATTCCCTCGAAATTCCAACAAATACCAAAAACAGTGAAATATTTGAATACAGACCACAAAACGAAAGTTTGGGAATAGTAAGAATGGTTTATTCTTTACTAGAAACCCGCCGCCTTAAAAAGTAATTTGGGAAGATTGCTGATGGCGACCGGTCGACATTCCAATGTTGATGACTGATACCGTATAATTTTTCAGAATGCCTTTTATTCTTGCCCTTGTCCCTGGGAGAAGTGCGATTCTATCACCGGGATAACGATGCCACGTGGAAAAATGTGGCGCGCAGCGCAAGGCCAAGCAAGAGTGAGGCAAAATTTTAATATAACAATGTCAAGCCATTGATAGCACTTCGTCTTGAACGCAGTCACATAGGGATTAGAAAATGAAGAACAACTTTAAAGGCACAGTTCACGATAACTCTGAATTACCCAGATTATGACAAAAAATGGAAGGAAAGGTGGAAAATAGTGCGATTAAGGTGATTAGAGCGCGCAAATTGGTGTTTTCAGAGTGAAAAAAGCTTAGAAAACCCTTTAAAAAGGAAAAAGGGGGCTGGACGAGAATGAGACCAGAAAAATGAAGTAAAAGAGGTGTTTGGACGAGCTATACAACGTGTATCATTGCGTACATGTGGGTTGTGGTGCGAATGGTGACTTTAGTAAGCGAAAATGCTCTCTAAAATTCATTCACTCAATTCATGGATCAACAAAAACACTAATAACAGCAAAAATAGCCCCCCCCCCTTTCTCAACCCCTTAAGGTAGAAAACTAAATTAAGGAGGCAGCAGCAAACAGAATAACAGACAATAATAGAATAGCAGAAAAACGTCGTCTAATCATTCGGCCATCAGTTGATTGCGCGCTGAGCGTGTGGGTCCTGGCGCGAATATTGCAATCCGTACCGCCTCGACACTCGTTTGACACGACACCGGTACATGGGCGCGGCACCCGGGCGACCCGGTAGTGGGACTCCCACTATGCCCTAGCTGTTGAGTTTTTTGAACCGGTGGCGTCCTTCCTGTTACCCTTGGGAGCCCACTGAGTATTCTCAGAGGGAGAACTCGGAGGCCATTTTTATCGTGAATTGTACACTTAAGCATCAAAAGCGCAGGAAACATATCTGAGGAATGGGATTGCATACGGACTGAAGAATGAAAAGGAAAATGAGATTTCAAGTACCAGAAGGAAAACCGAGCCTCCCACTTGAAGTCACACCACTGTGGTGTCGTTGCATGACCATGACAAAAGGTGTAAATCCCAATCGCAATGGGCGCCGACTCGCGAGTGCGGCGTGATCCCATCATCTCGGCGATAGAGTCGCAACCCATTCCTTTTTCCTACACCAACCAATAACAGCTTCTACACAAATTAACCATCTATATGCGCGTAACACATCAGACCCACTCCTACTTGCATACTTAACCCTAATAATGGCTAAATATCCCCTTATATTCAACACGTACTTCTTCGCGAGTTTAGACCAGGCAAGTCTTGAAGCCTTCACTGGTTGGTTTATGTTGCAAACCTCGTTCCAATGTCTCGACGAGGAAGCAAGAATGTCAAAGGTAAGCCCCGATCTGGCCGACCGGCTGCGATATCAAGAAGAAATTTGGGCACGTTATGCGCATACAAGTAATAAAATTCTTCCATAATGATTCCGTGGGAAAATCCTCAACATCCCATGAAAAGTCTTTTTTGAAATTTTCGGAAGATACTTACCGAAACCCCTAATACAGTGTGTTTCAAAAGTATGTGCACACCCAACATTTTGTTATTTTGAGAATGCCATCGCTTTCTGTAACAAGTGACCTTGACCATTCAATTCCTTGTGTGCGATAGCTTCAAAAGTATGTGCACACTTAGCAAAAAACAAAAATATAACCGAGATCAGGAATCAATA